TAAATGTGAACAGCTTTTAAGATTTTTCAATACGATTAACCCTCCTTTCTTGGTATTGTGCTGCAATTACTAAATCAATATACAATTAAGACAATAAAGAGACCAAAATGTGTTAATTTATGTTGCCTAACAAAACCTATACAACAGAAAACGTTTGTCTTAACACATAGATTTGTACAGAAGAGGATTAGGGCCACTGAAAAAAAAAAAGTTAACTGATTTTTAAATTTTATTTCAGTTTAACATGGGAAAAAAGTCAGAATTCTGACTTTTTTATTGTCAGAATTCTGAGATTAAAGTCAGAATACTGAGCAAAAAGTCAGAATTCTCAACAAAAAGTCAGAATTATGAGAAAAAAGTTAGAATTATGAGATTAAAGTCAGCATTCTGACTTTTTTCCCATGTTAAACTGAAATAAAATTTAAAAATCAGTTAACTTATTTTTTTTTTTCAGTGGCCCTAATCCTCTTCCGTATTTGCAATTGCAAACTCTACCAAAATTATTTGTAGCCTATGTGGTCGTCCTCACGTTATCTGTCATTGACTTGGGCTACAGTGTAAAACTTTCAGAATCAGAATCAGGTTTATTGCCATTGTTAGTGAAGGAGTTCACAAACTAGGAATTTTTTATGGTACAATCGTGCAACATGAAACATATAATATGGAATAGGTAAATAAAATTATAAAAATATCTAAAAACTGTGGGTATACGTCATGCAATAAAATAGACTAATGTATACACTTAAGATAAAAAATATGGATACAAAATATAAAAAGTAAAATAGCATCTTACAAGGAGACAACTAGTTTATCAGGTGACCAGTCGGCAAAATGCGTGTTTGGTGCTGCTGAATGAGACATTTTAATGCACAACAAAATGATTCTGCTTGATCTGTATATTACCTGGCTAATGGGGCACGGGAGAAGCAGCCTGTCAGCGACCGTTCCTGCTATCTGAAAACTGCTATGATGCTGCACATCTGGCATGCCCTGCGGGCGACCGAGCGAGTTCACGTGACAAAGGAAGAGAGAGAGGCTGGTCGTTTGTGCGCAAGTAGGTCGGTCATTTCGGGGCATTGTTTCAGTCGTTTTTAATGGCTCAGGTTTTCAAAAGATCATTTCAAAACTGACCTCAGTAAAATCTTAATAATATTAATAATAATAATAAAAAAAAACGAGTTTCAAAAGGGCATTTTCTTTGATAGAGTGCAAACTTCCTAGTGCTTTAGCACCACCTAGTGTCTATGTGTGCACGCCCCTGTGTCTTTATGAGCCTGAAACGTCAGGCCTAACTAACATCATAGTTGGAGAAATAACATTCTGCAACCTGATTTTTATCATCTCAAAATCAGCATTGCAGCTATGCTAGCAACATTGTGCTTTCATTATGATTTAATTTCTCAATAGATATTTAATCAATTTTTACCTGTTTCATCCCGTGTCTCCTCTCCCCATCACCCCTGGCTCCCTCGCTTTGCCCCACTCGGTTTTCAAAACAATCAGTCTCAGTCGCTCTCTGTCATCTCGTGCTGCATTCACTGCAGTCCGACATTGGAAATTAGCGGTTGTAATTCTCAAATGATCCATAATTTATAAGCCTCGCCACCCCTACCGCCAACTGGGGTGGCAGCAGGGGTGGCAAGGCTGTCATTTAGGGTGGCATTTGCCACCCTATGCCACCCCAGTAGATCCGCCTATGGGTCAGAGTGTGGTCTGAGGGTGCCATGGAGACACTCCAAGACTGTTTTGAATGCTCTGACTGGAACATCTTCAAGGCTGCAGCAACATATTAAAACTTATTGAATATTGATGAGTATGCCATGACTGTGTCAGCCTACATCAACAAATGCATTGAGGACATCAGCATCAAAAGAACATCACCACCCGGGCCAACCAACCACCCTGGATAAATGGAGAGGTTCTGAAATCGCTAGAAGCACCGAACTCAAGTCTGGTGATAAAGAGGCACTGAGAACAATGCGTGGCAACTTAAACTGTGCCATCAGATCAGCGAAGCAGAACCACAGCCTGAAGATCCAGGATCTTTTCCATGACAACAGCAACACCAGGAGGATGTGGAAAGGCATTGGCATGATCACAGACTACAACACCCCCCCCCGGTAGATGGAGCAAACACTGACTTCCTAAATGAACTGAACAACTTCTTTGGAAGGATTGAGGCACTAAACAGCCTCCAGCAGTGAAAGCTGTTCTACACCAGGGGGAGGAGGCACTAAACCTGGATGTAGCTGAAGTGAAAAAACTCTGAGGAGAGTCAATCTGAGGAAGGCCCCAGAGCCTGATAACATACCTTGGCGGGTGTATAAGGAGTGTTCAGATCAGCTGGCTGGTGTCCTCACAGACATCTTTAACACCTGGCTGGAACCAATCCATAGTGCCAGCATGCTTCCAGTCTGCTTCCATTATTCCAGTCCCAAAGAAGCCTCAGGTCACCTCACTCAATGATTACCGGCCTGTCGCACTGACTCCCATCATGATGAAGTGCTTCCAAAGGCTGGTTAAAGAACACATCGTCTCCAGTCTGCCGCAAACATTCGACCCGTTCCAGTTCGCCTACCGATGGAACCGCTCCACTGAGGACGCCATCTCTGCTGCTCTCCACCTGAGCCTGGCACACCTGGAGGAGAAGAACACCCACGTGCGGATGCTGTTCCTGGACTTCAGTTCAGCTTTCAACACCATCATCCCACAGCATCTGATGGGCAAACTGGAACAGCTGGGCTTCAATACACCCCTCTGCTATTGGCTGCTAGACTTCACCAACAGACCTCAGTCAGTCCGGGTCGGACAGAACGCCTCTGATGTCATCAGTCTAAGCCCCTCCCCTCAGGGCTGCGTCCTGAGCCCCCTGCTGTTCACCCTGATGACGCACAACTGCGTCCCCAGGTTCACCACCAATCACATGGGGAAGTTTGCAGACGACACCACGGTGGTGGGCCTCATCAGAGACGACAACGACCTGGACTACAGAGAGGAGGTGGAGCAGCAGGTGGAGCAGAGATAACAGCCTGATCCTGAAGGTGGAGAAGACCAAGGAGATCATGGTGGACTTCAGGAAGAACCGGCCTAACCACGCTCCACTGCTCATCAACAGCTCAGCTGTAGAGGTGGTCAGCACCACCACATTCATCACAGACACCCTCACCTGGACTGGAAACACCAACTCACTGGTCCAAAGGGCCCAGAAGCGCTTGGACTTCCTGCGGAGGATGAGGAGAGTCCACCTGCCCCCACCCAGCATGATCACCCCCCCACCATGGACTGTTCTCCCTGCTGCCCTCTGGGAAGAGGCTTCACAGCATTCAATGCAGGACCAGCAGGTTCTGCAACAGCTTCTTCCCCACCGCCATTAGAATGATGAATGTTTTGTAAAATGGGTTATTTTATTTTATTATATTTTATCATTTTATATATATATATATATAAAAAAATGTTAGAAGTGTAAATTTACAGTCATTTTTACTGTTTTTTCAAGGCTGCGCTTTTAAAAAAGATGAAATTTTTCAGAGAGCTGTTCCAAATGAAATTTCTTTGTGTAAAACACTTACACTTGTTTTACACTAATAAAATCTTTAAGTCTAAGTCTGAATGGCAGCATCCTCTCATTGAGGATATTGTTAGTCTCCAGTTTTAATCTGATTGTTGGAGATCAAGGAATCTGAGACCTTAAACCTGATTACATTCCTCAGGTAGACTACTCTTCATATTTCTTTTGTCTTTAAAAACGAACATACAGAAAATTTGAGGATTAATCGTGAGGTTTCTTAAGACTTGCATTTTAGTTTTACTTCCTAGACTCCACATGTGATTGGTAATAATTACGGCGCTGTATGCATGCAGATAATCTGCTCACGCTGTCAGGAAAAAGTTGCAGTGCGAGGACTCTTGCTATGAAGATGAAGGTAAGTATTAATTTAAAGGTGCAGAGATAGTTACATTACGTCTCGTCATCTCCAGCTTTATCCGGAACCGGGTTCCGGGGGCAGCAGACTAAACAGAGACTCCCAGACTTCCCTCTCTGCAGACACCTCCTCCAGCTCTGTTGGGGGAAGCCCTAGGCGCTCCCAGGCCAGTCGAGAGACATAGTCTCTCCAGCGTGTCCTGGGTCGTCCCCTGGGCCTCCTCCCGGTGGGACGTGCCTAGAACACCTCCCGAGGGAGGCGTCCGGGGGGCATCCGAAGATGTCCGAGCCACCTCAACCGACTCCTCTCGCAGCGTCCGCATTATTGCAGCAGCTGCACCGATCAGTCTATCGATCTCCCGCTCTATTATTCCCTCACTCGTGAACAGGACCCCAAGATACTTAGCAGGTAAATAGAACATCTACAGAATCAAGAACAAATGTTCACATCCACATATTAACCCAGGAACAGAATTTTTTACTAGGTTTACATTATACGCCTTATCTGTTCTAGTTTCTATGTAAACAGAGCTGTTAATTAATGGCTTTCTCAAAACTTTGCTCGAAAAAGACAATCAACATGTGAGTTTCTCATGCAATGAGGCAAAGGAGTTTCTAGATGGATGCATTTTATCACCAGTCAAACGTGGAAAACGCCTCTACTGTTCATTGCTTTGGCGTCTAACTGCTATGACTTATGTGAAACAAATGTTTTTAAAAATATAAATCATTCCAGATCCCGCATGAATAAATGACATCCGAATCCGCAAATAACCTTCTCGTTTAAAAGATTTGTCACAAATCATTCAGAGTAACGGCTTCACACCTGTGTGAATTATCACGTGTTTCCTCAAACTACTTGTTTTAGAAAAATTCTTGTTACAAATGACACAGGAAAAAGACTTCTCATCGGTGTGAATTCTGATGTGATTCTTAAGATCAGACCTAAAGGCGAAGCTTCTTTTACAGGACGGACATTCAAAGGGCTTCTCACCAGTGTGAGTTCTCCTGTGTTTATTCAAACTACACTTTTCAGTAAAATTCTTGTTACAAATCATGCAGGGAAAAGGTTTCTCACCAATGTGAATTCTGATGTATTTAACAAGACTCAGTTTCTCTCCTGTATCTTCAGTCTCCTGCTTCAGAACAAGCTGCTCTGCCTGCTCACTAATGGGGAGCTCCATGGTTTCCTCTTTTGTCCAGGAATGTTCTGGTTCTTGCTGCTCTTCTTTTATCTGCAGAGTTTCTGGTTCCTCTTGGTCCAAACTGGAATTAGTCTCCTGTTTACAGAGTTCCTGGTCATAGAAATCCTCCTCTTTTCCAACATAATCCTGGAGGCGGTCTGGAAAGACAAACACAGCAGAATGACTTTCTATTGTAGGTTAAAGAAAGGACACTTCAGTTCAATCATACTTTTCTTGATCTAACCACATACAAACCGAATGGAACTACATCTCACAGCATGAACCTGTGTGGTGGATCCTTCTACCTCACCACAAAGTGTTTGTATAGTTTCGTAGTTCATATTTAGTACCACATTTAGTTTGGCATTTCATTTAGATGTATATTTTCTAATGGGTGCACAGTTTAGTTAATGTCTTATTGGTTTACTTCACACTTGTTATTTTCTTTGAGGTTCTGCAAATGCACAGTGGGTTGGAGATTTGTAAACTCTGCAGTCTCTTCCTACTCTCCTCGCGAGTAAAACTAAATTAATTGTCTCTGTGCCTTCTTTCTTTCCCTGTATGTATGTATGATGTTTTAGGTGCTTAGACTGACACAGTTACAATGACTAATATGTAGTTTCACTATAGAAAGCATAGAATTAGAGATATTTACTTTTTAGTAGCTGCCCACTACAGTGACCGCTATTCACCAGAGGGTTTTAAGAAAAACAGGGTTAACATAGATGACATCTTTCCATCACATTGTTCTCCAGAAGAAATGTTGACTTTAATGGCAACACACAAGTTCAATCCTTTCCCTCCCCTGTTTATTTCTACTTCACTTCGAAACCTAGAGTAAAAACTAATCTAAACTACATTCCTGTGACCAATGTTTTGTTATTCTCATGACAAATAGAATAATGATGAAGCCAAATATTCATTTTTTGAACAATTTGAAATACAGAGACGTGTATGACAACATCATGTCAACCAGAGGTAGATTGTTGAAATATGTTTACGCCTGTTTTAGCTAGACTACCCTCCATCTCTTTTAGAAAAATTAGCAAAAGGACGTGAATTTTGCCTTTGTGGATGAGAAAGATGTTTGTGTTTTCCTCTCAAAAGGATCTGGTGAGAATTTAATTTATCAGTTAACAGCATGAAACAAATCAAGAATTTGATATGTTTCAGCCAGGTACCCAATCAGCTTGAAGAATTGTAATGAATGACCCTAACTTTTACTAACATCTTTATGGCGTTACATTTATGTCACAACGCGAGCAAAATAAACATACTTGCATGTATGTTAGACTACTTCTGCGCATGGTTTATCTACCACCGCGCGAGAAACTGCTGCTTCAAGAGAAGAAAATCTCTCTCCGCGCGCGCCAGCCCCTCCCACGTGCGCGCAGGATCTCCCTGCGCGCACAATTTTCTATACAGCGGCCACGCTCGAAGACGGCTGGCCTCTTGAAAGCGTCTCTGCGCTCGGACTGATTTTCTCCTCGCACGGAGCGAAAGTGGTTTTGACAGGTTGGGCGGAGACAACTGTAAGCCTCCTCCTGATTGGGCCTTGCAGACACGATCTCACAGGAAGTAGTGTCAGGAAGCATTTGACTGACAGCTCGTCAGTTAAGACGACGGCTCGAGGCGACTTCGGTAAAGTTAGAAAGATATTCACAGATTCGGACTTCCGGGATCAATAACTCTCGTTGTTGAAACACAAATAACGCATCTTTCATGTCCTGATAGCACAGACTATGAACTACTAGAATATATATACGACTATAAACTACAAGAATCAAAAAGCGTTATTTTCGAGAAAAACAATCCGTTCTCCGAGCTGGATGTATTACATTGATCTCTATGCTCAGGCAGCGGCCAGGCCAGTGGTTTAGGACCGTCTCTTGGTGATCGCACTACAACAGCTGCTTTTGAAAAAATACACTTTTTTAAATTTTTTTAGAATTTATTAATTGTTATTAACCATTAATATCATCCTATATTAATCAATAGCTCTGTGATTATACAGTGCAGACTCCAAAATCATCACACACACCAGGTTGATGATTTTGTTGATGGGGTTGCTAGTTCTCTGCGTACTGCCTTGGACAACACAGCTCATTTGAAAATGAAAACCGAAAAGCTTGCTCCTTGGTGCAATGCAGAGCTGCGCACTTTGAAGCTAAATGCTAGGAAACTGGAGAGAAAATATTGCTCCACAGGCCTGCGGGAATCCTACCTAGTCACTAGTAACTTTCTTTGTTGATAAAGCTTATAGTTAGAGTGGCTCAGGTTATCCTGATCTATCTCTATAGTTCTGCTGCTATAGGCTTAGACTGCTGGAGGACATAGGGACCCCTTTTTCATCATTCTGCTTCATTCTATCTCTATTCTCCTTCTCTGCAGTTCTCTGTTAGTTCAATCTCTAACGTTCTGCTCTCTCTGCTTTTTCTCATAGTAGCTTCATCTGGTCCGTTCCTGTTTGGCTGTGACTCCATCCTGGAGAGAAATATCAGCTTTGCTGCTGGTATCAACTTCTCTGTTTAATTGCTGGAGATCGGCCTGTTTTTCAGCGTAGTCATGTTTCCTTTTAATGTGACTAACTGGATGTGCTCTCTTCGTCCTCTGACATGGTAACTGGCTCGGAGCTCGTCAGCCTGGCTGTGTGTTTCCTGGATGGGGCCGCCTTTTACAGCTGCTTTTTGTATTTCTGCTTCCATCTCCTTGAACCCCAGTGGGCCTCAGCAGATGGCCGCTCACACTGAGCCTGGTTCTGCTGGAGGTTTCTTCCTGTTAAAAGGGAGTTTTTCCTCTCTGCTGTCGCTACATGCATGCTTGGTGTGAGGGATTGCTGTTGAGTCAATGAGTCAATGCAATCAGCTGGTTTTCTTTAGATAGAAAAATTTTGACCAATCTGACTGTATGATTTGACTTAGTTTGTAAAGTGCCCTGAGATGAAATGTGTTTTGAATTGGCGTTATATAAATAAACTGAATTGAAAGTACGATAGTTGGGTACTTCATCCACCACTGATCATCTTGATATGTTTCTCTGTAGCAATCTTTCAATGCAACTTTTGCGGTATTGTTTCAGTTGTTCGTTTTACGTGGGAATGGTGAACCCGTAGCATCATAAAAAAAAAAACACAGAGTCATATTTACACAAAAGCTTTAGTGTATAGACAGGTATAGACATCATGCTTAAAACTTCAATGTATTTCATAAAGAACTCCCATCTGCCTAGCATCTCTGTGTACTTCATTCACAAAAAGGTGTATTTTTTCCAAACCAGCTGTTGTAGTGTGATCACCAAGAGTCTCTAATGGTTAATAACAATAAAATATTCTAAAAAAATAGGTAAAGGTGTCTTTTTCAAAAACAGCTATTGTAGTATGTTCATCTGGAGTCCCTTGGTGTGTGTGGCGATTTTGGAGAGTCTGCACTGTATAATCACAGAGCTATTGATTAAAATAGGATGATATTAATGGTTAATAATAAAAAAATTCTAAAAATAAAACAAAAGTGTATTTTTTCAAAAGCAGCTGTTGTAGTGCGATCACCAAGAGCCCCTTGGTGTGTGTGGTGATTTTGGAGTCTCTGCACTTTATGGCAGTGGAGTTATTGATCTTTATTTGCAACGTTTTTCTGTTGTTTTACCATTTGCAGACGGTCCCTAACCACTCGCCTGGCCGCTGCCTGTGCATAGAGATCAATGTAATGCATCCAGCTCGGAGAACGGCTCGTTTTTCTCGAAAATAACGCTTTTTGATTCTTGTAGTTCATAGTCTGTGCTATCAGGACATGAAAGATGCGTCATTTGTGTTTCAACAACGAGAGTTATTGATCCCGGAAGTCCGAATCTGTGAATATCTTTCTAACTTTACCGAAGTCGCCTCGAGCCGTCGTCTTAACTGACGAGCTGTCAGTCAAATGCTTCCTGACACTACTTCCTGTGAGATTGTGTCTGCAAGGCCCAATCAGGAGGAGGCTTACAGTTGTCTCCGCCCAACCTGTCAAAACCACTTTTCCTCCGTGCGAGGAGAAAATCAGTCCGAGCGCAGAGACGCTTTCAAGAGGGCAGCCGTCTTCGAGTTGGAGATAGATTTTAAAGAAGAACACATTAACCAGAAAAGAGGTGGAAAATTCTTTAGCCTTTTGCTGAACCGGTGTTTGGAGAAGAAGAGCCTGCCTGCTGAGAATCTCCTAAACTATTGTGCTCAAGGCTCTTGCACATTGATGATCAAGTGTCATGAATTTAACATGGTTTTAATAAATAGGGCTGTGAAAACAATCCTTTATTAATCAAAATGAAGGATAGAGGAAATTATGACAAAGGATGATGCAGGAATGCTTCTAAGTTGTTTGTAGGAGGCTTTGAATTCTGATGTCTTTCAAGTCTAGATTTCTTTATAAACATTTTTCCACAGGACAGACATTCATCAATCTTCTTACCTGAGTGAGTTCTCATGTGATCCAGAACAAGCTGCTCTTCATGCTCACCTATGGGGAGCTCCATGGTTTCCTCTTTTGTCCAGGAATGTTCTGGTTCTTTCTGCTCCTCTTTTATCTGCAGAGGTTCTGGTTCCTCTTGGTCCAAACTGGAATTCCTCTCCTGTTCATAGAGCTGCTGGTCAGAGAAATCCTCCTCTTTTCCAACATAATCCTGAAGGCGGTCTGAAAGACAAACACAGCAGACAGACATTTTATTTCCCTCAGCAGCGCTTCCTGTACACCTCTGCCTGGAAGAGACAGACCCCAGCTGAATGTGTCAGAGGCTCAGCAGATTTTAAATGCTTTTCTAATAAAATTCTCTCTTCTATCGTAAAAGAAGCATTATGGTAAGAAAGAGAAATATAGGCCTAAGTGATAAAGCCATCTGCAACAGCTTCCTCATTTTTGCTATAAATGTAGCAGTTTTTTTCCTGTAAAAAGACTTTGAACTATAAAATGCAGTGAGTACAGTTATAAAAAAATCATGTTGCTGGAAGAATTCAGTTTCTGATAAATCTAGACTTTACTGGAGGCAGGAAGGCCTGCAAGGCCTGGACGATGAGGTGATCACCTTCAGTCCCTCACATGGAAATGCATGATCCCTTTCTGGACATCTTAAAAGTGTCATATAATGATTACACAGGTCTCTGAATAGCGATATGTGCTGTTCTATGAGCCCTAATGCAAGCCTGATTATAAGCCATGGAATGAAACGACAGGATTTCTTCCTTTTATTGTATGATCATGAATATTGTGCGCTAACTGGTTGGTTTACAATCGACCGAAGCTGCTGAGCAAAGACGCATCGTAGCAACAAGCACTCACTCACTGAAACATCAAATTGTTGATATGGTAGGGTGACCAGACGTCCTCTTTTTCCCGGACAATATCCTACTTTTCATACCTAAAAAATGTTCGGGGGAAATTTCAAAATCATCCAGGATTTTGGTCGACTACAGTGCAGCAGGTAGTAGAAACAGGGAGCCAGCGGGGGAAGGAGTGACCGAACCCGACCCGGTGACGGTAGCCTGGACAACGGCGGCCCCGTGCTTCCTCCCGCCCTTACCAGGCAGGCGGGGAGAAACAAGGTAAGGTCCTTCTGTAAGGGGGAAGCATACCATCACTGGGTCGGGTTCTGTCGCTAGTCCCCCACTGGGGCCCGGGCCAGTCAGCGGATTCAAACGAAGCACCCAATTGACATCAATTCTGGTGTTTTATGGTGGAAGTTTCGAATTGTGAGATTTGCAGAGAAAGGAGGTGTTGATGAGGTTTGAACTTCTCTGTACGTCCATTTCACCCACTGAACTATCGTTTTCATCTATGACGATGTTAACTTTGTTTTGCATTCTTTGATCCCTTTAAAAGAGGAAATTTTTGTTCATCTGGGAACTCTTGTCTGGGTTCCCCATCACAGAAGAGCAAACTAACTCAGCCATATCGCTCAAGAGGAGGATACTTGCTTACACTGCTGAAGAAAAAGACATTTGATCAAACTAAATTAACATGCACAGAAGAATCAAAGAAACAGAAATTTGACCAGATGAATTGGAGAAACTTCAATACAGCATAAAGGAGGGGTCAGATTGTTAAACCATGTTAATATTGAGAGTAGGGCTGCAACTAACGATTATTTTAAAAATCGATAAATCGGCCGATTATTTTTTCGATTAATCCATGAATCAGACAAAATAATAAATTTTTATTAACCTCTTTATTCCAAAATAAACATTAGAGACAGAACAAACAAGCACACAAGTACAGGTTGCTCATTAACTGTACTGGTGCAATATGAAAAATAAATGTTTGTGTTAAAACTACGCAAACTTACATGAGAAATGTAGCTGTACATCCACAAAATATAGGCTACTTTGTTTCATAAAGCACAAAAAAAGAGGCATTTTTGTTTTTAAAGCCCCTAAGGGGTTCAAACAATAGGCCCCCCCATTTCAACAAATGAGGTTTCTTTAGACTAGAAGAGTTCTGCCTTTTAAGAGTGGAAAGTATAGCAGTTAAAGTTGCTACTTGAGAAAATACTGAACCATAGAGATAAAAATAGCCCTGTGATTCAAATTATAAATTGTATTTGGAATAAAAATGAGAGAACTAGGGGTGTTAAAAAACACATCCTCCAAAGACAGATATTTACATGGGAATGTGGCAGATAATTAATTGACATATTACTGATCTTGCTGGATTTTATTTTGCTTTACGTCCATAAATTGCAGGATCTTCTTTACTTTATCTTTGCCAGAAGATTTAAACTTTAAAAGCCTTGCCCTCATAATTTGCAAGTTAATTTATTTATAAAGTAAATATAAACGTTGCTTAAGCTAATTCAAATGAAATTAAAAGTAAAATAAGTAGCCAACCTTATCACTGTCTGTAACCTACTAACACGGTAAGGAAAGCATCAGATGAGCTACCTGAGAAACTAACGTTACGTTTCCCCACTTTAAAACCAAACAAACATGGCCGCTAACCCTGCTGATCAGCTCTCTTCACTGCCATCGACGGCTCCAACGTGTTTTCTTTTCAGGTGCTGCATCATAACAGTGGTGCTTCCGTGCCATGTTCATTTGTTTTTACAAAAGTTGCATGTTACGACTTTTTTCGCTTTACAAAGCGCAGGCTATTTTAATTATTGTGATCAATTTGCGCCGTCAATCCCTGCGCATGCGCGCTTCATTTGCAGTCTGGACGCTGAGGGTAAACATCCTCTGACTGCAGCGCTGAGAGGGACTCCTGCGGGAGAACGGGGTTGGGATGGGTGAGGCGCCCCACGGCAGCAGCTGCCGCTGGAAGACAAGATTAGGAACGATACATGCTTTCACGTAAGAATCTCCAAAAGCCGCCAGTGACACCGTAAAAAGTCGCCAGATTTGTCGCTAGTCGCTTTTTTGAAAAATAGTCGCTGGAGGGGTCTGAAAAGTCGCTGAGTTGGCAACACTGCGCACCTGCAGCGCTGGTTCACTCTGCCGTATTTTTTTTTTCTTCCCCTGTTTCAGTCAAGTGGATGTGATGACGGCGACGGCGGATGACGCATTAATCGCGCGACACAACTAATCTATGATGAAATTTGTTGCCAATGCTTTTAAAAGTCGATTTTTATCGATTTTATGGATTCGTTGTTGCAGCCCTAATTGATACTGATGACCAGCATTCCAAGAGCCATTAAGATAAGTATAGGAGCCGCCGTGAATTGTCACAACTGATACTCTCTTGGTCTTGATTAATCGACTTGTATCTGTGTTTGTCCTGTTAGCTCCATTTGATACAGTTGACCAATATTTTCTTTTAGAAAGACTGA